ATTTAATAGTTAATTTTACCTTTTCAAACAATCTTAAACATAAACTTTAAAAAAATTAGTTTCCCTTTTTAAAAAATTCTTAAAGAAAAACTGTAAAAATTATATTTCCATAAATAAAATTTAATAATCTATTTTTTAAGTTATTAATTAAGATGATTATGTAACATGAAAATTATATATTTAAGATTATGACATGTGTTAAAAAACAGGTTTTATTTTTATTTTTTAAATGTAAACCAAAAGAATATAAAAACAATCTAAAAAGATAACTTTCTTTTTTTTTAGTTCTTATACAAAATTTTTTTTAATATTTCCATATAAACGTTTTTTAATATTTCCATATAATAAAATAGGTAATAACTGTTTATGCACTATGATTACTCAAACATAGCTGACGGAAAAAAAATATTTTTTTTTTAAATGAATGACGGAAAAAAATATTATTGAAATATAAATACTAACTAAAACTTATGTGGAAAAACAATTTTTATTCCTAAAATAAGTTTCACGCAATATATGCAAAATCCAATGATTGCAATTTTTTTTTCATTTTATGTTTTACATAAAATTAAAACACCAATTGAAATCCGTGCAACGCACGGGTCCATACCTAGTTATAAATAAAATGTTTCTTTTCCCTTCTCATTAGCCTTATATATATTGCCGAAAACTCTAACACTACGTCTAATTGTGGTTATTCTTGTATTTCAGGGTATAGAGCCCTATGTATTTTCTACGGATTGGGGAAATAATGAATCTGATATATGATAATACGTTCAAAGAACTGAACTCTTCTCAAGAATTTGCAGTTTTGGTGGTGGTCTTGCAAGCAGGGAACTTTTCTTTGAAGTTTAGTGTGAAACTGATATGGGGACAAAGATGGTCGCTACTCTTCTCTTTTCCCTTCTCAACCTAGGCTGCAAAACAGTGTGTTCGCTCCTACAAGCACGGCTGGGATAGGAGTTGCATCGAGACTCTTGGGATTGGTTAAGGAATCTTCATCATCAGAACACTCTACTTACGGGCTGGAGGATATTGTTTTAGAAGGAAAACCGAGCCAGAATGGGAATCGACGACAAGAATAATATCTCTTGATGTGTGTCTTGATCATGGCACAAAGGCGGACATACAGAAGGAAATCTGGGTTCAGTTGACACCAGTTAAATATAAAAACTTACTTTGTTAACCCATTTTAAACCCCCCAACCTAAGTTCGAAAATCCCATACTGCACTCATATTTTTTCCTTTTTATTATGAAAAAAAATCTTCTTATTATATTTTGGGTTTCTTGGGCTTATAATAAAATCGATGACCCCACTTAAATCCTTTCCTGGGTCCGTCAGTGTCATCGCATCAGTATATTGACCATCATTTTCTGTATGGGAATGGAGTTTTGATTCAGTCATAGATTTTCTTGAGAAGGTGGGAGTATAGTTACAAGGATATTTTTTGTTTAGTGAACGAAACATGAAAGTCGATAACAAGAAGAAAACAATTCTTGGAATTTGGAGAGTTCTTACAGAACGTGTTTATGGATTTATCAAAGAGTCGAATCACAAGTAAAACAAGCTAAGAAGAAGGAATATATTCTTACATAGTTACATTTGGAGAGTTTATAAAAGAATTTTTTACATCTAGAGGCACTTTTTCACATTCCAATTATATTATAAGGCACTTTGTATTTGTGACACACTTTTCATTATGTAAAAGACTCTTATGGCCTTATCTAATTCATTATTTTATTGTCTTTATTAATATCTATTATCCACATGCATCTCTCTCATACTCTTCTTCTTCTATTTTATTATTTCTTTTTATTTCATTTTATTACTTCTTATTTCACTGTCTATTTTCATTTACATTTATCTTAAGTTCTAAAATATATTAAACAAAAATAATTATCATAATAAATTACATATAAATTTCTCTATCTTTTAAGATCTAAATTCATATACTTTATATATGTATATATATAATATATTAATGTATAAACAAATTGAAGTGTGGACATGGACAATGAATGTGGATAATAGGATTATAGATTAGTTGTGGACATGGTCATCTTAATACGAAGATAGTTGACTGATACTTTTAAACTTATTCTTTGCCATCTCCTAGAAGGAGAAACCCACATAACCATGTTTCCATTATTACTCTAATTGTCACTAGCACCACCGAAGCCACCACCACTCGAATTCCGATTTCAACTCGCTAAAGGTCTTATCTTTCAAACTGTTGTACACCGATCTGGAGACTTCTCCCATGACCACATCAAATCCAATGCAAATAGCTCTTGATTTCCAATAAGACATCTTTGATCGATCTGTTCTCTGCTCCTCCTCTATGACAGTTGGTGAGCCTCGTCGTCGGATCCAAGTCTTGGCGTCGCAGATAGTAGAGAAAACAACAATGGTCAATTATTTATTATTTAACATCAGATCCTCCAACTATTTGATTTTTCTCAATTGTGTTTCAAATTTTGAATTTGTTCAATTTTCTTCAAGAATCTGGTCCAGGAATTTAGTTGTGCAATCTAATCCTTTCATACAATTGCAAGAATGGTTACTCTGATTTTTATTTATTTCAGTTTGGTCCCAAAGTATTAAATGTGCAGATTCATTTTGTCCATAAAATTTTATCCACATTTTTTTTGTCCACATCCACAAAATATGTCTAGTAAATTATGATTAAAAAAATAATAAAACAGTAAAATATAAATTATATGTATATGGATATCAAAATAATAAGAAAAACAAAGTAGATTTTTATATGGTTATTATATATTTATTTACATCACCCATCCACACATCGCATGTTCACATACTATCCATCCACATATCACCCATTCATGTATCTCATGTTCACGCATCTTTCGTCCACACATCATCCATCCACACAAAACGTTCAAGCCCGTCCACGCATCGCTCGTCCACACATCATCCATCCACACAAAACGTTCATTAAGGGAAAAATTGTCTAGAATCTACTGCTGGCCCACAAAAAAGTGTGCTACATGTGCAATGTGCCTTATTATGTAAGACAAAGACAAAATGTGTCTTATAGTGTAACCAAAAGAGTTCCATAACTTATGTAAGGTATTGAGAAGATTATGGACCATATGATAGTTTCGTACACACATCTGCCGATGTCTTTATATCACCTAATGGTGAAATGACACAGCGCATCAAGCTCTTCATCATGTTATGTCTGTCTTGCAGGAGAATTCTTCTAAACATGACTTTGAGATTAGAAGTCAATGCACGTCCCCCAATCCCTTTGAACCCTTGTCTTGCATCTTAACTTGAATGAACCACAAGTTACACATGCATACACTAAAAGGGTTGAATAATACAGTCATTTAGTGAGAATAGTCATGACAAGCTTCATAATCCATTTCCTTGAGCCTCTACATTCCCTTCCAAAAATTTTTAGAGTTCCAACTTTGTTGGAAAACAAGTAGGGGATAAAATGAGTTTGACCTTAAAATACACTTATAATCTTCAAAAAGAAAAAAAAGAAAAAAAATTCTGCACTGCCTCGAGTGATGCTGAAAATGATTAAGGACATGACTCCTACAACTACTTGTAGTAGACGAGGTAACTCAACTTAAAGAGTGTGAATTAGTTTATGCATTGCAACTTCAGGGCCTGAGCCATGTTGTTCTAATAGGAGATGAGCTTCAGCTACTTGCAATGGTGCAAAGCAAGGTACTCACTTTTTTCATATTCCAAGCAATGTAGAGACTTCTACATTTTATTATGTTTACATTTTTGATTTTATTGCTATATAGAGGGCCGAATATGAAATTTTTGAGATTTGAAACATGTCAAGAACTCTAGTAAAAAAAAAATTTCAAAAATTAGAGGGGTACCTATGTAAAAAACTTCTAAAATTTCTAGGGGCTAATGCCAATATTTCATTGGTCTATGCTCAGATCCGACCCTGGCTATACCCACAATGTTAAAACATTTAACTTTTGTAAAGCTAATTGAAAACATGAAAGTGTTAATATTAAAGATATATTTTTTTTCCTTTATAGAATGCAAATGTAGAAATTGCGTTTGACTCAGAGTCTTGTGTAACCCATGCAGGTATGTGAGAAGGCAAAATATGGAAGAAGCTTGTTTGAGAGATTGGGTTTGCTTGGCCACAAATAGCATTTGCTTGATATTCAATACCGGATGCATCCCTCTATATAGTTAAGGAAAGTGTCTATCAAAAGCGGTTTCTTCAAGGAGACATGTTTGGTTCTTTCTCATTTATCAACATGGGACTTGGGAAAGAAGAGTTTGGTGACGGGTCGGCAATATATCACTGATCTGTCAACTATCAACAGAAAAATGTTATTTCTGAAACAGTGTCAAGTGAGACGAAAGACAAAGATGAGTGTTGGGATTATTTCACCTTATAAAGGTCAAATTAATTACAGCAACCGGGACAAGAGAAGATCCAAGACAAGTACAACTCTGCATCAGATCAGCTTTTCAGTTTGAATGATGGGTTCCAACGAGGAGAAGAAGACGTTATCATCATACCGACCGTAAGAAAGTAACGGTAAATCGTAATGGAAAATAGGGTTTCACCGTAACCGTCAAAGAGCCCCCGTAGCACGTGCTCGTGCTAGGCACTGTTTATGGGTGATTAGTAATGAGACAACTCTGGCTCTGAGTTGTTCGATTTGGACAAAGATCATAAGGGACTTAAGAGACATGAATGTTTCTATCATGCTGTTGATGAATAACATTTAGGAGACGCCAATCTTGCTCAAGGTCAGGCGTTAGTGATGTATATTGGGCCTATTATTAGTGGACCTTAAGCAGATCATGTAGATATTCCATTTTTATTATTAGGTTTAAGAGTAGCATAGAGTTATATAAAAAAAATTAACATAGGAATCAAGAATTACAAGTATTATTAGGTTTTTCATTCACGAAACTAGAGTCGAAGTTAATCTAATTTCATTTGTGTCTCGGCTTGTTCTTTGATCTGCTCTCTGCAACATGTCTATTACGGAAGAACCAAATCGTAAGATTATCTTACTCTACGCTCTCACATCTAGTGACAATCCTGGTGGTCCAGCAACTAATAACTAGTTCTAATTTCAGGTTCATTGCTTGAAGTGGAAGTAGGAGCTAACAGAGGGAACGATAGGATAAGCTTATTACATGACACCTTGCTATGTCATATCCTTAGCTTTAGAACGAGGAAGGAAGTTGTTTGGACAAGTGTCCTGTCTTCTAGATGGAGAGATATTTGGAAATGGGTTCCTAGATTAGAACTAGATAGCTTCGATTTCCCAAATAACAAAGCGTGTGTTTATTTCATCAACAAGTTTCTGTGAAAGTTATTCTCTCAAACACAGGAAGTCGAACTTGTGTTTGAAGTTAATCATAGCACTTACAATACTGAATCAGACAGGCCAGAAACAAAACAAAAGAAAAGATATCAGTAGGCACGTAAATTAATTCCATACATATGTGGGTAATAGTAAATGCAAAGGAGAATCGTGAAACTGTGAAGGAGAGCCAGACAAAACAAAAACCAATTGAATTGCTTTTTAACCTCTCTGGCTAACAGAGCCAGCCAAGTAAAATCCTTGCTTGATACATAGCTAATTCTCACGACAAAAAAACAATGCATGTCCTCTCAAACTGATGAGAGACTCCTCCATAACCATGACTCATGGCTCGTAATGCGGCAGAGAACATGAAACCTGTAGCAAGGTCTTCCCTTTGATAAGAACTGAGAATAAAAGCGGTAAGAAACAGACCTTTCTTACCGACCTGCACAGAAACGACACCATGAAGCACATGGGACAAGAGACTCCAAACCCAACCCACGCTTGAGCTTACCGAACCACCAGTCCATTGCGGCGGACGAATAGAGGAAACATCGATGACAAACGAGTCACCACACCTCCAATGAAACAAAACATAACAGAGAAAAATTAGACCTAGCGGAGAGAGAACTCTACCAGCTAGACAAACAAAACCAACCAAACTGTAGCAAAAGCCACCAAGAACCACCATCGAAAGCACCATAACCACTCTACAGCCACCTGATTTGACCACGACAAGCTTCACACGAAGGCCACCGTAATGGAGTAGAAGACGACTCACATGACATAGGAAATATTAAGCTAAGATGTCAAAATGTGGCATAACTTACAAGAGTTTAGAGATTGAGAGCTTAAATTTTGAGCATATTTTTCTAAGCTAATAATAAGAGAGTTATTCTTATTCCACCAGAACTGGTCAAATTGATAAACCACAAACCAACCGTCAGAATCTCAGTCCCACCATTGAAGTTTAAATTAGTAGAGTATTATGAAGTTTCGAATAAAATTTCCAGTAAAAATCTTGCATTCTTCGATGCCATAAACTTGTTCTATCTTAATAGATAACTATGATTCTACTTTCTCAGCAGAAATACATTCACTTCACATTACTATCAACCTGTTCACCGAAAGGCCTTCTTTTTCAGTTGTAAATGTGTATCTAATAGTAGAAACTTGATTTCGACAAGCTGGTCAGACCGTGACAAGGTCCACCAGAATCTCCAATATTTTAGTCTCACACAATGATGATGTAAGCTCAATAGCATATACATCAAATCCATTCAGGCAGCTGATACTTGCTCTCATGTGAGTAACATATATATGTTATCACAACTTATTAACCAGTTTGGAGAGAGAGAAAGGCTTCTACGTGCGCGCCGCTGCCGTCGTCCAGCTGGCTTGGGTGGAAGGCCTTTAGCCTGATAAGAAGTTATCTTTTTGGACCAAATTAAACGCAACATTTTGCCATATAAATTACAAAAACAGCATGCAATTTTATTTAAAACGACATGTAGTTCGATAAAAAAACAACACGTTTTCTCTCTCCTAAACGATAAGTTTAAACGAGAAAAGATCTTGCGAAGGAAATTTTTCGTAACGCTTCACCTCCGAGATTCTCGCGAGATTTCCGCCAACGTGCGCACGTGCTGCATCAGTTACGGAAAGTGGCTTGTCTTCTCCTCTGTAAATGATTGCCTCTTCCTCATTCATTTCCCAATCATTTTTTACTCACAGAAAATATCCACCAATCTCTCAGCATAAGTTTTTTTTTTTAAGAGAGTGTTCGTAGAATTCTAGTTCGTTAGGTCGACTCACGAGTGAAACGTGATTCGTCTGCCATAGTTGTATCCTGGAACTCAATATTCGTACAGTTTCGTCTCACTACAGAGAATATTAAGAGTTAAGGAAAGAGATTTATCTCGCCTCCATGTCTTATATAATCGTTTATTTCCTTAACTCCGTCTTTCTTATATCATTTATGTCGATCCGGTTTTCCGGCTTCTACAATGTCCTCTCAAACTGATGAGAGTCTCCTCCATAACCATGAGTCATGGCTCATAATGCGGCAGAGAACATGAAACATGTAGCAAGGTCTTCCCTTTGATAAGAACTGAGAATAAAAGCGGTAAGAAACAGACCTTTCTTATCGACCTGCACAGAAACGACACCATGAAGCACATGGGACAAGAGACTCCAAACCCAACCCACACTTGAGCTTACCGAACCACCAGTCCATTGCGGCGGACGAATAGAGGAAACATCGATGACAAACGAGTCACCACACCTCCAATGAAACAAAACATAACAGAGAAAAATCAGACCTAGCGGAGAGAGAACTCTACCGGCTAGACAAACAAAACCAACCAAACTGTAGCAAAAGCCACCAAGAACCACCATCGAAAGCACCATAACTACTCTACAGCCACCTGATTTGAACACGACAAGCTTCACGCGAAGGCCACCGTAATGGAGTAGAAGACGACACACATGACATAGGAAATATTAAGCTAAGATGTCAAAATGTGGCATAACTTACAAGAGATTAGAGATTGAGAGCTTAAATTTTGAGCATATTTTTCTAAGCTAATAATAAGAGAGTTATTCTTATTCCACCAGAACTGGTCAAATTGATAAACCACAAACCAACCGTCAGAATCTCAGTCCCGCCATTGAAGTTTAAATTAGTAGAGAATTATGAAGTTTCGAATAAAATTTCCAGTAAAAATCTTGCATTCTTCGATGCCATAAACTTGTTCTATCTTAATAGATAACTATGATTCTACTTGCTCAGCAGAAATACATTCACTTCACATTACTATCAACCTGTTGACCGAAAGCCCTTCTTTTTCAGTTGTAAATGTGTATCTAATAGTAGAAACGTGACAAGGTCCACCAGAATCTCCAATATTTTAGTCTCACACAATGATGATGTAAGCTCAGTAGCATATACATTAAATCCATTCAGGCAGCTGATACATCCTCCGAAGTCACTGCAATAAACTCTCATGTAGCGAATCATGATTGTCTTATTTTGCTACTCATGAATCAGAACCTGATGAATGATTATTCTAGTTTTCTCCTGTTATTTTATTGAAAGATACGACCAACTAGTCTTCTAATGATCCAAATACCCTGACCGTCACTAGTTTGTCTCTGTAGATACAGCTTGTCTCCTGTTTCTTGACGTGTTATCTTTGAAACATTTTCTGCAAGCTAACCAACCTCGTGCTGCACATGATGCAAGAATAATTACTCAATAAGACACAGCCTTCTCCTCCTAAATAATTCATGAACAATAACACAACGCCTTCAACTTTAGTGGCTCAAACCATTAGATAATGTTCCCCCCAGCTAACGACAAAACCACAGAACCTGACCGTGAGCTAAAACTTGATTATTGCAAATTCAAGCATTTCCTTGGCACCATTCCACTCCGCTTCTTCCATCAATATTCAGATTTTTACCTTACAAAGGCCACACAACCTGGTCTTCGAATTTCTAAACCTTGCAACATAACTTACTGTTATTAAGTTGAACCCCCAGTCGTGTTACAAAAAAAAGGTTCAAATCCCGAATTTTTTTTCCGATAAACCCTATCGGCTGATGTGATCGGTCTCAAGAGGAACACACTTAGTGCTACAGAGTGGAATAGTCCGAAAGTGTACCATACTGCATAAAATGAGTTTAGAATACCTTCCGACTAATGCGAGGGGGTGAACCGATCATCTGTTACAGTACACCATATAAACCACTTGGGCTAAAGCCCAAACCCATATTGGCCAAGTAGAGAATTTAGTTCCTAGTGAGAATTGAACCTAAAACTGATGTGACTCACCAAGCCCCAAAAAATTACCACTAAGCTTCCACTACTTGGTTAAACTCCCGAAACATGGTCCTTTAACCTTTACATTTTAATTTTCAGAAAAAAAAAAACTTATAGTTATTATATATATCCTTAATAACACATTATTATTATTTAAAACACAAGTATTGTATATCATTTAGTCTATTACATTCATATATCTTTGTGTGCTAACTTAAGCCAGGTACTGAGCTATATCCAGATGCGCTGTTCGACCCAAAGAGCTAAAGAAGCATCTTCATAACATTGACAGAATCAAAGATAGGTTTAAGTAATACGATAACAATGTCATAAGAGTAACTAGAACCAAACATATTTATTTATCTTCCTAACAAGGATATCATACGAATACGATTGATACAGCAAAACGAGCAAAAGCTTATGGATTATTTTGATTATGATGCTAAGATTACAACTACTCTTTTTTAAAACACTTATCAATTATGCATTACAAACTATGAGAAATATATATTACATAGACGATATTACAGAAAATTCAACCTGCCTTATGCGGATTCGCGTCTGACTGCATTACATTTAGTATGCTGGTTCTACTGAATTTTTTTATTTATAAAATCAGAAAAAACTTTCTATTTACGATTTAGTCTAATGGGTCATTCGTGATGTGTTATAATAAGTTACATATTTATACTGACAATAAAGAAAAGCCCTAACTAATATTATGCATCTACTCTATTAAAATATAGTCTTTCTTTTTATCTACTAATACTAATTGTCATTTAAATTTGGACTCTTTCTAGAGTGTTACAACAAGCCATATAGTTAATTGAACCGCATTACTTAAATTAAACCGATGGTTATTTATGGGATACTTTGGCTTACTTTTGTTTTTAGGACAAATTATATGGTTTGATTTTTAGGCTTACTATTAAGGAAAAACTCCAAAAAATATTGAATAAAATTTATATCTTAATGGATAAAAAATCAAGGCCCAAATGTATTTAATATTTTTAACAAAACAAAATTGTCTATTATTAATCATTTATTTAAATCATGTACTTTAAAACATGTTATTGTATTTTTTATTTTAAATAACAATCACTTTTTGATAAATTTCAATGGTATCTTTTAAATAATTTATTGTTTTATTTTTCTTAAAAATTCTTGATTTAAAAAAAAATGTAAAGCAAAACCAAAAACCAATTCTAAAAACTAAAACCCAAAACCAAAAGCTGAAAAAGCATTGTTCTGGATAACATATTGTTATAGTTTTTGCTTTTGTTTATTTACAAAATAAACTATTGCAAATTGTTTTTAAACTTTTTTTGTCATCTTTTCAGTTTTAAATTAGATGTTCGATTATTTGAAATTTGTTTGTTGGTAATATCAGTTCAAACTAACTCAGCGGATCTAAAAATTAAAAACCCAAACAAAAGCTGAAAATCAAAAATAGAAACTTAAAAACTAAAAACCAAAATCTAAAAATAAAAACTGAAACTAAAAACTATTGAAAAAAATCGTCACCATAAATTTTGGTAAACTGATTTTATACCAAAACATTCTTTAAATTAATACATAACCCAATTATATAAATTTTAGTTATAAAAAATTTCTGCGCTTTTAAGCGCGGATCAAAATCTAGTTGTAATAGTTAAAGTAAGCCCATATTGTGAAGCATCGTCGTCGAAGTAAACCTAGGATTATCTTCATCGCTTCATAAAAATTTGAAAAATACAACTTGACCCTTTATCTTTTCGTAAGCTCTCTACACTTCTCCATCTTTAATCAAACCATCACTAATGGTCCCAATTCACTACACCTCCTTATATATTCTTCATCTTTAACAGAGGAAATCTGCATCTCTCTCTCTGCTTCTTCAGTTGCTCAAACTGACATCCGTCAGTCAACATTTAACTCTCTTTGGCTTGGTCGTACTACTCAAACCATAGTTGGTGGCCTCCTCGGCTTTTGGGATTCCCGCAACATCAAGAAAGGCGGTGAGTTTATGGGAATCACGCTTCTCTTCCTTGATGAAAAGGTAAGGACATCTTCAATCTATAACACTTATCTAATGTAACTGTTTTCAGTCACTTGTCTGATTGCTGATGCACCGAAGGGCCTTAATATTTTAGACATGAGCAGCCGCACCGGTCAGACTAACACCATAGCAAATATCGTCTACAGAGAAGCCTTCAACGGCCTACCAACAACAAGTATGTTATCTCTCTTCTTTATCAAACTATTTTGACACTAAGGTTTATTTTTAAACTTAACATAAATCACAAACCCCACAGGATCAAAACACGAATAGCTTAAATCCATGAATAACCAACATACAGATCATTATCGATCACCTGTCTTTTTTTACTAATCCTTCAAATAAACATCAAAACAAATCTCCCATACCAATAAGCTTAACTCAAACTCAACGTGACTTACGTCAAATAAGTTTAACACACACAAACTACACAGACATCAATTTAACAATTTACACACTTAGTTTTGCAAGTGCTTATGAGGAAGACAAAGACGTCGAACGAAATCACTGACATCACCTTAATGAAAAACACAGTATGTTACCAACTCTCACAAATACAGCTACCCACAAACTTTATTTATCTATTACTCCCATTAAACAAAAGAGATTCAAACAGAGGCACAGCAAGTACTTTCAGAGACTCTCCTGAACTGTACACAAAGCCGGTAATATCATCTACAACTGTTCACTCCTTTTTTCTTATGAATTCAGCTTACCGGCTCAACAACAACAACCAATACTATTGTATCGTTATGGCAAAAACATTACTTCATTCAAAGGCCAGTAAGGCTCAGATATTGTAAATTTTCAAACAAACTACTTTTAAATTATTTTTACATATCTATGTTCTTAAAGCCCGGTTAAGACGACAATTACGAATTAGCCAAAAACACATATAACTAACAAGATAAGAATAATAAACATTATTTCAGAATAAAGCCAATTTAGACTACTAAACTGCAAAAAGATAAGTCATAAACAAAAGTTAACATGCAAATTTACCACAACTCTGTACCCTACCATAATTTCTATAAAATTACAAAATATTAACATGCGGAAGATCACTTCAGAGCACACCATCTCCACATCCTTAATATAAAGCAATAATTCTGTCAACGGCCTGGTACTTGCGCAGGGGATATGTACCTAATTTAGGTATTCGAACTACTCTTGCTTCGCTGATAGAAGGATCTTAGCTAGGTCCGGCTTATAATATATTTGGGCCTAGTGCTGGGTTAAGAAAATTTCTTACAATTTTAGCACATAACTATTGTAAATTTTTGTAAAAACAAGATCCTAAATTATGTGTTTTTTACAAAATAAGGCCTTAACTTCTTATGTAAATATGAATAGAAAAAAGAGACCATGTGCAAATGCACTCTGGCATGCTCAGAGCCGGCACTGAAATCTCATTTCTCTAATATGGTTAAACTATATATAAAATATGTTAAGTGGATCAAATAAGGTCAAACTTAAAACGAAATATACATGATAAAAAGGTGAATCCTAAAACTAATTGGTGATAAGTGGATTAATCTATTTATTTTAAAAATATTAAGTTGATTATCTTAGTTAGTAGATTGCAAACCGTGCAAAATAAATTACAAAAACTGAATCTGTCTTTTTTTATTACTAAATAATCTTAATAGACTAAACAAGAGGTACATTGGTAGATTATTATCATTAATAATGTTTTAAAATTATGTGAAACTTTTTAAAAATTTTATTTATTAATTTATAAAATATTCACTAGGTGATGAAACACTAATTTTTCTTTTATAAGAAACATATATGTTCAATACTTGAAGCCAATGTGGAAGAAGGCCGGAGAAGTTGACAGTTTTAGTGATGATATATGTAAATATATAAATAATTTTGATATTCTTAAGATAATTTTCTACTTTTTTATTATATATTAATCAGTATATGTTAGAATTTTAACACATGTAAGTTTAAAGATAGTAGAAGATTTTCGAATGTGACAATATTATGAAATAACCAACAATTAGTCTAGTGCATGAATCTGAAGATATCTTTCTAAAAAAAAAATGAATCTGAGGATATTTTCTCAAAAAAAAAATGAATCTAAGGATATTTTTCTCAAAAAAAAAATGGATCTGAGGATATCCAATTAAATATATATCTTTCTTATAATTACAAAGTCTTCATTACAATCACCCATGCAACACAACTTACTGTTATTATATATAGATCCTTAATAACACATTAAAATTTACAACACAAATATTGTATATCATTTAGTCCAATAATCATATATTTTTGTGTGGTTACTCATGGCAGGTACTGAGCTATATCCAGATGCGCCGTTCGACCCTAAGAGCGAGAAGAACATCTTCATAACGTTGACAGAATCAGAGATAGATCCAAGTAATACGATAATGATGTCGAAAGAGATACTAGAATCAAACGTATTTATTCATCTTCCTAGCGAGGATATCACAGGCTTGATACAGCACAACAAGCCAATGCTTCTGGATGTTTATGATTATGATAAACAGATTACAACTACTCATATCATAACAAAAGATGGAAATAAAAATTTCAAGTTTGATGGATGGAATATGGTACACCTAGGAAATCATTTCAGGACAGGCGATACTATTGTGTTTTGGTGAGATGTCTTTCACTTAAGACTTAATTTCAAGAAATTCATGTTTTCTTTTATATAAAGAGTTAGTTACAAATTAACACACATTTCTATCTTTCCTTACAAGATTAACACTTTTTCTGGAGGAGCACATTCTCCATTCCCAAAGTGATTTTTGGACCGAAATGCCCTTCATTTGGCATAATGAGACATATTTTTTTATTCTATCTAGTTAGTAGGGACCACATTTAATTAGTCTTTTCGTTTTTTTGTAGAAAGGTAAGTAAAAATTAGTTATGGTTATATTATTGAAATTTAAAAAGATCTAATGGATGAATGATGTAGAGCAGACCAAAGTTTATGAATGTGTGAGATTAATTTTTGGCCACTTGATTGAAAAAATAAAACAAGATATAATATATAGAATAACTTATAATTTTACTCTTTTATCGTTTGATATCCATATACATATATATATATATATAATTTTAAAATTGAATTGAGTAAACAGTCTTCTAGACATATATTGTGGACAACGTAATTTGAAAAATTGAATTGTTGACCGAGTTATTTCAACAATTGAGTTATGGATAGTGTAGATCAAAGAACAAAAATAGTAATACCCATAAACAAAATTTGATTGCATTACACAATAAGAACACATTTGTGGATGAGATGTTTGTGGATAACTAAAGTGTGGACACAAAAAATGTGGACACATATCTTGTGGATACGAAAAAATGGACTCATGGTATCAGCAAAAAAGGCGAGGGATGGATATGGCTTCTAGGTATGGATGTGGTTGTGGTTATGAGAAGAAAAAAAAACGAGGTGTGGATGTGGCTGTAAGGGGTTTGGGAAGTGTGGGTGTGGAGGCTGCTGTCTTGGATAAGTACCAGCATCAACTCTTGGGAGTTATGTTCCTCAATAGACTTATCCTCGAGGATCTTGTTATATAGCCAACAAAAATTTCCAGAAGCCATATCATTGGTAACCTTGTCGATAGGTGACATTGTCTGCAATTTCCTTTGCCACACTAAACATTCAACAAATGAGACACCAAACATACAAAAACAGAAAAACACAAACACAATAAAAAACGGGGGTTTGCAACTGACAATATATGCAATCACGATTTTAGATCTGGAGAAAATTACAGTATACAAACCTTTATTGACGTCCTGGTGTGTAGAGCTTTGAGAAACAAGCTTGCTTTCTTATTCTCCTTCAGTTTCGTCATAATCTAAGTGATTTGGATTTTGGGGTTTGAGAGAGGAGTACAGTTGCAATAACTTAGGATCAAGACGCCGAGAGACCAAGAATAAGCAGTTGTAATTAGCGTTCACGGATCTGGAACATGGTTCAACCCCGGCTTTTCATGAATATGGAACCCCCTTAACTAGATTTTAGTGCGCTGAAGAATTCTCCCCTGGATAAATGCCCCGCCCCTCAAAATCAAAGAGTCCTTTTTGGCGGGAATTGCCACGCGGCTTAATTACGACCACTCCCTCGGGAATAAGAGGCAATAATAGAACGCACTGTATAGAGTACTCCCCCGCTTTTCTCGGGTTTCCAAATGCATGTTACTTCTTACTCGACAACGAAAGGAAGCAGGGGAAATTAGGGTTCATGAATTTAGGAAATTGATTTCAAAATTGAAACAGGAGAGATAAATAAAAAGAATAATTAGAGTTTCCAGAGGTTAAGGTATGGCTTTAGTTAGGACAAAAGTGAAGTATGTTGTTTGCTTTATGAAAGGGTAGAAAGGACAATTTATAAGAAAAAAGTGTGTCAAAAGCAATAACAATTTATAAGAAGAAAGTGTGTCAAAAGCAATAAGTGCCTCTATATGTAATTGCAATGTCAAAATGTCAGTTGATGTAAAATTTTCTTGCATAAATGTCAGACTTTAAGATTTTTTATGTTTCTAGGACACATAACGGTTTTTCCGATTTCCTAGCTAAGACTGCTTGATCCTTCTATCGAGAGCTGGTGTATGTTAGTTGTTCTATTCCGGTCTGGATTTCCAGACCACCTCAAGCTTGAGTAATAAATCAACCGTTCGTTCTCAAAAAAAAAAAAAACATTCAAATTCGTTGGTTCATTTGATGTTGTTTTTTTTAGAGTTATTCTTGAGTTTACCCCCTAGGGTGAATAGGTTCACCAACCAATAGGATGGCGTTATTTCATATTTGATATCGTTTTAAAAAGGAAATAAAATCTTGTTAAGTTATATTATGTTTTTAAAATAAAAATACAAAAAATAAATAAAAATAATAATATTTACAAAAAAAAAACAAATTCTTTAAAAAAAATATTTTAACACTAAAACACTAAAACACTAAACCCTAAACAATAATCCTAAACCCTAAACCCTAAACCCTTGGATAAATCATAAATCCTTTGGAAAAAATCTTAAAAATTAAATCAAAAAAAATAATACTAATCAATTATACTGTTTTTTATTTATTTTTATCTTTTTATTTTAAAAACATAAGATAATGTAACAATATTTTGTTTTCATTTTAAAGATAAATTAAAAGAATTTGTTTTAAAAAATTGTTTTTTTGCAGTTATTACTGTTTTTTATTTTATTTTATCTTTTTATTTTAAAAACATAATATAATTTATTTTTGTAAATAAATTGTCCCTTATTTCTAAATATTTTTATTTTTATTTATTTATTTTTATTTTCATCTTAAAAACATAATATAACTTAACAAGATTTTGTTTCTTTTTTAAAATATATCAAATATTAAAAAACACCATTCTATTGGTTGGTGAACCTCTAGGTTCACCCTAGGGGGGGGTGAACCCAATAATAAGTCTTTTTTATTATGTTTCTTAAGCTCATGTTGTTATTTAAAGTTATAAACTAGATTTTGACCCGCACAACCACGTGGGTGTTTATTTTCACTTTTATATACATAAATATTTGTTTTAGAACATAAGTGGTATATTTTTAAAGTTAATCATATATTTTAATGTTTATATAACTATTTAAAATAAAATAATTTTATAATTTACATGTTATATTAATCAATTGATTAAAAACATATTTATTTTTTACTTCTTATTATATATTATCTTATTGTATTTGCATTTAGTTATTAAGAAAACTAATATATTCATGAGAAAACATATTTAAAAATTATTTTGTATTTAATTATGGTAAATTTACACTCGTTTTTCAAAGTTGGATTTCCTTTCACAAATATTTTTATGTTTATTTATTTTATATACAAAAGTCTAAGTAATGTTAATTTTTATACATGTATTATATAGTTTGCTAATTTAAGCCTTTTTCATAATATTATATTTTTAAAATAAATAGTTTATATTTATGAAAACAAAAATTATAAATTTATCAATTTAATATACTTTTATCATATTAAACTCAATATAATAATTTTCTCTTAACATGATGATTATGACTATAAAGTAAATAAAATATGATATAATTTAAATTTTTCATTTTATAAACGATAACTTAAAATACATTAAGTTATTGTAAAAATATTTTTACACATATTTATTAAAATTATTAAAATTTAATGTATATATATATATATATAAATATTTATATTGAAAATAAAAATATATCATGATTAAAGTAGCTGCAAAGATTTTATATTATTAAATTTAGTGAAATACATTTTAGTTTATATATATGTATTATATTGTTTGCTAACGTTAACCCCTGTTACAAACATATTAGATTTTATTTTTTGAACATAAATATTTTATACTAACAAAAATAAAATATATAAATTTATCAATTTAATACAATTTTATTATATTTATCTCAATATAATAATTTTCTTTTAATATGCTTGATTATGATTATATAATAGATAGTATGATATATTTTTTATTTTTGAGTTTATAAACTTTAACTGAATATATTAGTGTATAATAATATTTAAAACTATTTTCGAAATTAGTGAAAACATTTAAAGATAATATCCAAAATAAGATCTTGTAAAGATCTCTTAAAACAGATTTGTTAGAACTTTTAAATAAATATATTTATATTTAAAATGAAAAGATAGCAAAAGATATTATTATTAAAGTATTTTAAAGATTCTATATATTATTAGTTTTAATAAACTTTTTATGTGATGATACAAATTAAAAAAAAAATCACACATGAAGTAAAGTCATGACTTATGTTTTAATATATAAAACTAGGATTTGACACGCCCTTAGAGGGCGGGTATATTTTATAATTTCATTTTTTTATAAATTTAATTTTTACATTTGTGTTTTTTGTACTCAAATTTGTGTTTTTTGTAATCATATTTATGTAAAATATTTTTTTAAATGATTGGTAAGGTGTTTTGACAATTGTATTGAATTTTTGATGTTGCATAACTATATAATCATGCCTAGTGCTGGGAAGCGAGTCAAACCCGTCCCGCTCGACCCTTCCTGCAGCCGGATGATTCCTTTTTTGACTAAAATTTTTAATATTTCTAACCTGCAAAGAAAATATATTTATTTGAACTCACGTAACTTAAATTTATAGATAACCCACAGGACGCGCATATAATTACTAAATCATATATATAATTACTAAATCATATATATAATTATTTTCTAAAAATAATATGATTAATATATTTTTAATTAAATTTGTTATTTTGTATATTTTAAATCATTTTACCTAAATTTATTATATTCGAAAAAATATTTTTAGGAAATTGTTTTTTCTATCTTTGCAGATTAGCGGGTACCCGCGATATAAATTAAACCAACCAGGATCCGCTCCGCATAAAATACACTTAACTTACATCCGCATCCGCAACTTAGTTTTCTCAAATTGTATTCGTTATATGTGTTCTAGTTGTACAAGTTATACTGATTATACTCAATCTAGTTGTACTAGTAGTACTCATTATAGTTATACCAGTTGTACTAGATCGAGTTGTACTAGTTTGAATTGTATCAGTTGTACTACAAACAATTTGAGTTCTTTTTTCGTGAATTTTTCTCAATGAAGATCAAATTTGATTCAGATAATAGAAAATAAAATAAGGATGATAATGGATTAGTCAATTTGGGATAATAACAAGAAAAAATGAAAAAAAAATCTGGGTTAAGACAATAACAACAAAGTTGGCAATGTGTTCTCCTTCTTCTTCGCTGGTGGAGACTCTATCTTTTTCTTACTCGACTTTTCTGATATTTTTGTATCGAGGAGATTCAGAGATGAGGATTATGTGTTACTCATTATGTTGAAAAGTGAGAGAAGGATCTGATGAGTGAAGGAAAAAGAACGAGAGAC